GAGAAAAAACTTCAATATTCTGTGTGCAAAAAACATTGATACAAGAGTGTCTTCAAATTCAGCATGAAATCAAAAGCTTCATTTCAAGTGATGTATTCTTGTCCATGCTTGCAGCTGTTTAAGCATTCAAAGCACCAGCCAAGCTTCATAAAGAAAAACACTACTTTCCCAGGAAATAACTCTGCAGTAAATCTGTGCTGATATAAGTTCCAGAGATTTCAACATTCTATAGAAAACTCATCAGCAAGACCTAACTGCTACAGAGAAACAAACTAAAAAGCCACATTGCCACTAAAGCCCCCCTTCTAATTCACAAGTTCAAACTTCATTTATCCATTCACATGTAATGAAGCAGAAGAACTTCTCAAAGAAGTGTTTCCAAAGGCTGTTTGAAGTTCCAAAATAAAACAAGCTCTGCAGGCCTTGTCTTCTAGCACATTAGTCCCCACAGCTGCCTGTTGATCTGTTAGGACAGCACCAAGACCATAGCAGATAAATGGTTTTCTTCGGCATCACTCGATACTGACCTTTTCAACTGTGGGATTTCAAAACCAACCTCAAGAAATCAATTCCAACGTTCAGTGGATACTGTTAACATGTTTTGATGTATCATGAATCATCCATTACATACACAAGCAAAGTAGTTTGCCACTGTGAATTATGCCCAAGAAACCTGGGACCCATCAGCTGAAGTACTGAATAACAGTAATTTTTTCTGCTTCTAAAACATATACTTGAAAACGTAAGAGTAAATCAGTTGAAGCATGCAAGTGGCACGAGGATAATGAATACTCAAAACCAATATATTTAATAAATGAAGCACATTATGCTTTACACTCAGTAAAAGCACACTGTTGCCTATCACTGAATTTGGCTATCAAAACTCTGTTAGAATAAAGAGATTATATTTCTTAGATAGGAAGGGGCTCCAAGAATCTTGAAGGAGTAACTAAAATTCTACTGAATTGAGAGGTCCACAAAAAAAAAAAAATCCCCATACATTCTGGCTCATCTCTAGAGGCAGAAAACGCCACCAGTTCAATAGCAGAACATTTCAGTATGTGAAAGGAAAAACTAATTTACAACATGTTGAAATTCCAGACACCTATAAATCCTTAACAATCCTTAGCAAACCAACAAATATTTACCATACTTAGAAGGCTTCAAAATAATTCTCCAGCTACCTCACCTGCCAAAAATGAAGAAATCAAAGATAAGCTCCAAGTTTGCAGATTAAATCAGCACAAAGGCTGCCATTTTGATCTCCAGCTGTTTGTACAAATTTCTTAATTTCTTCCAAAGCATTTTGATTCTTCTTGTGGCAGAACAAATTCCATCCATCAATAGCTAAAAATATTTCAGTTATTTGAATTTTCAAAACAGAGGTGAAAAACACCTGTGCTTTACTAGTTAAGAAAACAACCCAATGCAACATTTCAACAGCTTTTATCAAAGGTTTGCTTAGATCTAAATAATAGTTAAATGTGAAGGAAAACATTTGGTTAAAATATAACAAATAATTCTGGTGTAACTTGAGGTTATTATCATTATTACCCCTAAAGGCAGACTAAGTTCTAAGGAGAGAACATAAGTGCTATGGCAGTTCTGCAAAAGAGCTAAGGGTCAAGATGCTTCAATTTAATTCTCGGTCAATACACTAATTTTTCTTAGATTACAGGTATTCTGTACATGAGCCTTCCATACAGAGAAGTTAACAGTCACCCTCTACCTTTCAAGAGAATAAACAGTGACAGCCTGCAACTCATCACATTGCTTGTACAGGGAAGCTTCCAAAGGCAAAGTACAGTTATATCCTGCACTGGAAGACATTTGTAATCTGATCCTATCAATGATCTCCATATACTACATGCCATTAAGATTAGAGAACTAAGAAATTAGCCTGACAAAACCAATTGCTCCTCATCAGGACTGTATACTAATGTATTCTGCTATTGAGGTAATTAACAAAACCTAGTATCATAACCCACTGGGCATGCACTGCCTGGTGAGTAACTTATACCAGTAATGCAATTCATGTGATATACTGCTTGTGGCTCAGGATCCTATGCAAGCAAAAATAAAAAACAAGTTAAAGGTAATGACCACAACTTGTCTAATAATTTTAACTGGAGACACACATGAACCAGGAAGTAATAACACATCTCATTTGAACTGAAAAGTCCAAGAAGAGTTGTGTTATACAACCTGTATTAGACTTCAGTGCAGTTACAAGACAACAATAAGTACACATCAGCTAAAGACAGGCCTGCAAGAACAGAATCAAATTACCTGCAGCAGTATTTTTTGCTCCTTCCTCACACAAAGCAGTCAAGAGAACTCTAGAAGACAGAGCTCTGAGACTGCTCAAAAGAACGAAGAGTACTTTGTTATGTGACTGTTCATGCAGGAAGTTTAATAAGAAAACAAAGACCTGCAAATTCATGAAAGCTAATTCACATCCAAGTGACACTGATACAGTGATGGAAACATTGAACCACCATCAGCTCCTCTGGAGTGCTTCACCAAAGTATCTGCTCGCGTTTGGTTAGCTCTTCAGAAACCCAGTTCTTCTCATCACTGTATAAGGCACTTCAAAACACTATCATCTGTCAGATGATGGCTTTTCTTTCTCTTTCCTCCATACAGCAATACTGCCCACAGACAGTGTTATTCTTGTTTCAGGAAAGTAAATGGCATGTACCTTCTACGAAGTAAATAAACCTGAGCTAAAGTAGGGACACTAAAGAGTAGCTGATGTACAAGTAGTTTATATTGCTACTCCTAAAATCATGATCCCTTGAAGCATGTTTTACAGATAAGCATATACTGAAAAACAAAACAGGTTTATGCTGTTTTAACTATGAAATGTCACATGTTTTATACCATATAAATCAAATGTGAAGCCACAGTAATTTATTCCTGCTATGAAAATAATTTTTTAAAGCACAAGCAACTCTATTTCTGTAAAGTAATTTTAATACTTCCATGGACAAATAGGAAGATTAACAAAGACTATTCAATTTCTGTAACCATTGAGTATAATCAAGACTATTGTTTCAGTATCTGATAATAATAATGTTTTCTATTTTCTCTTTATTTGAGGAAAATAGCCATGGAAAACGAAAAGAGGGCTGGCTCAATTATACATTATTTCATGTACAACAAAATCTCTGTGTTCACTGCCTAATAACTCCATTCATACTGCCACTAGCTATATAAACACAAAACTAATCTTCCAGCAAGGGATAGAAAAAGTTTGCTTTGCACAACTCATCCCCAGAATTCAGCTGGAAACAAATCAAGTTTCCACATCACTTAAGGGAAACATAATATGGTCCTAGTCTCAAATGAACAGCTACAGATAAAACATCCTAATTCTTACTAAGAATGACTTGGGGCCCGTGGGCAGTTAACTGTCCTATCTTAGCATTTTTTTTTCTGATGAGAAATTAAAAGGCAAAAAGCTGTAGCATAAAAACTGACAAAGCTCAGTTCCACGGCTTAAACACAGGGTTTAATCTTTAATCACTGAAATTTGCAAGCAGTGTAACCAGAACTTTCACAGATTTCCAGCTTGAGCACTAGTGGAGCATAATTATTTTGTAACATGTCAACCTCCATGTATTAGAGACCACATAACTTTGCATCTGAACTACAGAGCACTGTAGTGTGGGACAGCCTACAGGAGGATAAGAACTGCAACCTTATTCCATTACTTCATTCCTCTCCAAGTACATTCACTATTAGTTTATGGAAAAAACTGTATCAGCCAAAGTCAAAACAACAGTCTGTCTTCTCTAAATGTTTCTTGATTCCCTATTTGAAGTTTTAAAAAGAAGGCCAGTCTTGCAACCTCCTCATCCCCAGATTTAAAGTTACTTGAAGTTCCTGGCTGCTTTCATAATACGCCCCCATCTTTTTCTGATTGGAATACCATCCCCTTATTAGCTGCAGTTTACAAAAGAGGCACAAAGAATTACAGCTTTTTCTTAGTCCTGCACAAACAGCACACACACTACACCATTTATCCTTTGAAGCGTTTTCCATCAAGGAATCTCACAACTGTATCCAATAACCCATCACTGAAGTACTGGCCCCACGTCACAGATTACTGCTCAGCCTAAAACTATCAGCCCTTCTCCTGTTATCTGCAGCGATTACTGAACTGTATCAGAAAGAGAATAAACAAAGCATTTCTTAACTGCTTTTAGGTCAGTGTTAGACATTGAGCAGTTGAGATAAATCCCTGTCTTCACACGCCTGCACTCACTCAGACGCCAGGCTTCCTCTCAGGGATACATTTACTTAAGAGACAAGTAGAAAAAAAAACATTTAAAAAAACCCCAAACGTGGCGGGGCGGGGAAGGGTTTAAAAGTTCCCGAGCTGTCAAGGACTCCCAGCGCCCTTCGAAGCCAAAGACGATTATTTCTTAAGTACTTTAAGAGCGCTGGACAGCAGAAAGCCTCGGCGGTGCCCCGGCGCGGGGGCCGCTCTCGGGGGGCGAACACGAGCGGGCAACGAGTCCGCGGGCGGGCGGCTCCGGGAACGGGCGCCGTGCTCCCGCCGCCCGAACGGAGCGCTGCGCACAGCACCGGGAACAGTGCGGGGCCCGTCCCGACCCCACGCTCCGAAGCCTCCCCCCGAGAGCGCGGGGGGAAAGGGACCGCTCCGAGGACCGGCGAAGGGCCGAGCCCGGCGGGAGGACTCGGAACAAAGCTGAGGCGGGAGGGCCCGAGGACGGGCAGCTCAGCCCGGGCCGGCGGAGCACAGCCAGCGGCTCCGGAGCCACCCACCGGCGCCCCCGCCGCGGCCGGGAGGAGAAAGGGGCTCCCGCAGGGCAGCGCCGGGATTATCCCCGCCGGCTGAAGCCCGCTGAAAACAGCTGCTCCCCCTCCGCGCTCCTCGCAGGCGGGGAAAGGACCCTCTAAGCGCCGCCGCCCGCCCTCCTGCCCTCCCTGCACGGTAGTTGCGGGGGGCTGGAGCGGAGCCCCGCACCCACCTGGCGCCACGTTCCGTCCCATCCCGCTGCAGCCGCGGCCGCTCCGGCCGCCGCCGCCTTCGCGGGCTAAGCCGCCGCCGCCCCGCCCCCTCGGCCGCGGGCCCCGCCCCTCACCGCTCTTATGGCTCCTGCCGAGGGGCGGGGCGAATCCAGCCAATGGGAAGCCGGCCGCGGCGGCGCCGAGCGCTGATCGGCGTGGGCAGCGACCAATGAGAGCGCCGGGGGGCGGTGTCAGCTGTCAATCAGCGGCCCCTACCTGGGGCTGCCGAGCGGCCGGCCGCGGGGGATGGCGATCCCGTCCCTCCTCCCTCCGTCCTTCATTCCTTCATCCATCCCTCCCTTCAGCCTTCAGCCTTTCATTTCTCCCCCGGCCGGCGGGCCCATATCCGCCGCTTCGACCCCTGCCCGCCCCTGCCTGGGTCCCGCCTGGCCCCGTGAGGTCGGCAAGCGCCCAGGGTGCGGCGGCTGCCCCGGGCTCCCGACGGCCGCCCAGGCCCACGTGCCTCTCGGGAGCAGCCGCCCCTTCCCCCGGTGCCCGAGCCGCCCCTTCCCCCGGTGCCCGAGCCGCCCCTTCCCCGCCCGGCGGCGGGACGGCGGTGCCCGGTCCCTAGCAGTCCCCGAGACCATCTGGCGCCTCCCCCACGATGCCCGCGGGGTCGCTGCAGTCACCCACCCGCCGCCCCGGTCCCCTTTCCGCCCGCAAGAGACCTCTGCGGCGCTTCTGCCCCCATTCCCGACTGCCACAAACACACCCACCCCCGCTGCCCTTTTCTAGCCCTTGCGACCCAGTTCCTGCTGAATCCAGCTCCCGGGCATCCGGGCCCCCAAGAGCCCCATGTTTATCCCGGCGGGCTCGCTCGCCGCTGGGCAGGTGCATTGCGAGGGCTGCAGCTGCTGAGCGAGCCCCAGCGATGCGCCCCTCCAGCTTCGCCTGAGCCGCCGGCCTTTGTGGTTATCCCTGCAGCGGGGGCTGGTGATGCGCGCCGTAAAGCCTTCAGGAAAAGAGGACGTGGGAATGTATCATGTGAATCAGATTTTGGAGGGGCAGGTGGCTAGAACAACTGCTAAATTTATTTTAATGGCCCGGGGGGCTTCAATAACTGATGACTACTAACACAGGACACCCAAAAACAGCGAGCTCGTGAAGGTGACGACCAGCTGCTCTGTCCCGTTCAGCAGGCTGCCCAGATCGATAGAGTGTCTGCTTGGCCTTTATATGGGACAAAGAGGTCAGGGACACCCCCGTGATCATGGAATCATGCTCTACAGAAGAGGAGCAGGCAGGACCCACCGCGATGATGGGCAGCAGTCGATCTAACCAGCTCAGCAGCTTGCCCTCATCCATGGGGGCTCGGGCTGCTCTGCTGTCCCGAGGAGTGGTGGGGCAGTGGTGTCTCAGGCTGTGGAAAGCTGAAGGGGCAGCCAGTCTCTCTGGAGTCATCTTGAATAAATACTATTTAGTCAATAAAAATAATCACAGCTGAAAGTAGAGTTTTTAAAACACCATCTCCAGTCAATTGGCAACCAAAAGTTTACTGAACTCAACCCAGTTGAACCACTTCAGTTACGCACATCTTGCCTTACAGCAAAGTTGCAGGCTCCCAAGCACCTCCTTTTAAAAAAAAAAAAAACCCCAACAACAAAAAAAAAAAAAAAAAAAAAAAAAAAAAAAAACGCCCTGTATTCCTAAAATTATCAGTAAAAATTATTTGTATTTGAGGTACTTGTGTCAGTCATGGTAAGAAGCAACAGCTGAGAACCAGTGCTGTAATCACTCCAGGTTACACAGCAAAAAGTAGCAAGACAGCTTTGAACTGCTGATGGTGACAGTTTTATGATCACTAGCAAAGTAAACAGAAAAGAAGTCTTTAAGTAACGTAACCCTAAAAGAAGGAAGCAGCAGGCTTTTTACTCAGCATAAGGGCTTAGTGGGACAAAAATCCTAAGAGCAAAATAGTCTCAAGGTTTTCAGAAAAATTCATTCTCTATCCAAAAAAAAAGAGTATTTTTCCTGAAACACATATGCAGCAAGTGGAAACTCTTCAAAGACTGTAAAACAAAACAGAAGGAAAATTATTTGCTATTGTTAAAATACAGCTGCATTCGTGCTCACTCCGTGGTCCTTTTTTCTTATTGAAAATGGGATCTTGAGGTTTTAAAAATATTAATTGCAAACAGACCTGTCTTTACCAGTACTTTTTTTCTGCTCCATCAATACAAGTAAGTAGCCTGTGTGATGCAAGGCATTAATTAACATTTATTTCGTTCCGGCTGCTTCCCAGTCTCCTGGATTATTTCTTAGCTTTCATTTTTCTCCTCTGTATTCATGACATTTTTAATGCCATTTCTAATAACATCTAGATCTTGTAAGAAAGGAACTCAGGCACAGCTTTATTACTGCTGCTTTGACCTTGCTTTTGAATTTGCATATAAGGCAAATCTACCAAACAATTTGTATTAAATTGGTATTGAGTTTTCATTAAGAGAAAAAGAAAGGTTAAATTAAATGCGAGGAATAATTGAATCAGCATTTGTATGAACCAATATTATTTTTAAGTTAAATCAGGCTTCAGAAAAGCCCTCTGAATGCAGTAAATAGAGGTTTAGATTGAGGCACACCAAGAGATATCCAGGATTGATCTATTAATTTCACTTGAAGGAAGAACCAGACTTCAGAGGGTAATGAAAAAGGAGGGTTATTGGGGACTCAAACCAAGATGAGTTAGTGGAAGTGAACATGACATTTTCTTAATATCTACTTATAATATCACTGGTTTTAGATCAAATTTATAAGGACCTCATCTTCCTTAATACTTCACACACACAAAAAAAGATACCATGTAAGAAGAAACAATATTTTGAAAGCCTGTTATACAGCTTGTTGCTTACTGCTGGAGAGTATATTTCATCATATGTGAAAACCTTTTTGTCTTTCAGGAAACACAAAATTGATGAATAATGTTGAAATAAATAGTGTTGTGCAAATGATTTACAATGCCACTGCTAATCATTACAGCATCTCTGATTATTAATGGTACATTGATGGGCCCCTGCAGAGTTTGTTGCTGAATCAGCTTTTGAAATAAATTGCTTTCCCTCCATCCACAGCCGCACCCCAGAGAAAGGGGAACCACGTCTTGACTGAAGTAATTGATTTAGGATAGCCAGCAGATATAGACACTGCACAACAGAGGTGCTCTATGAATTACTACATCTCTGTTAATGGAGTTTATTTTCCTTTATCACAAAACTGTTTAGCCTTGATAAGGCTGCATATGTATTTCTCATACTATTCACACTTTCAGTGTTATTGATACTACCGTATGACTCACATTTTTTGGGAATACTTTCCTGACACTATTAATTATTTTGCTTTTTCTTTATTGTTTTCCTTCTGCTATCCCTGGATTGCTGGAATACTGAAAGACTAACAAAGAATATGAAACCAAGATGCAAGTAGATCCTCAAAGAAAACATTCAACGTAAGTTCAAAGAGTCACTGTGTAATCAATCTTGAGAAAAAAAAATGCAGGGAAGCAAGAACAAAAGGAAGCCTAATAACTTTTCAAGACAGCTACTTTCATCAACTAAACAGGAGTTGTAATTCTGCCAATTAATAGTAAGGTCCATTAACTGTAAGTCATAAAAACTATTTGCTATGCAGAGCACTCGTTTTTCTTTGCTGGCCCTCACATTTTGGGAGGGCAGTGTATCAGGATATCCTATGAAGCAAGGACTGGTGATCTATAGCAGGAGTGGACAGCCTCTCCTAATGGTTTTACAGCGCTGCCAGTTGAACAAGCTCCCATTATAAAAATAAACACAGGAAAGACATGATGCCAAGTTCCCTGAGAGATTAAAAAATTATATTCAGAAAACTGTAGTTAGTAGTGCACTGCTGATCTATTGTGGCACAGCTAGGACTAATTGGATAAAACTAAAAATTGGGAACCAGGGTGAATA